AACCATGGATGAAAAGGGTGATAATACCTTCCCTTTTCATAATCTACCCTCCCGAACTCAAGAAAACATCTCTAAAGGTCTTTCCTGTGCTTTTTCACCTTTCCTTTTAGATAAAAGAAAAGTCGGTGGCGACTCTTGCTAAACTGCAACATTTGCAAACACAAACGCAAACCCTCAAGTCAGTTCTCCCACCATATCACACCTCTATAAGCGCAATCACGACTCCACTTTGCTTTGATGCGTAGACAAGAGCGGGGCAGACAAGATCATGGTTGATCTACCCCCGATGGTACAAGGAATAATAAATGCGCCTCTATCTTTATCCTTATTAGAGTTTTAGACCCTGTAAAATAACACTACATGTTTCAGTTAGCATTACCGACTCAATGTCGATGGAACGCTTCTTAAATATGACGTCTTTCGTGAATTTGGCATAAATTGGAATTTGTTCCAAAGCTTATGCAAAAGGAATGTTAATTTTAAGCTTCTTGAACAATTCCAAAATTTATCAAATTTTTTCTCATTAAGATCTTTCTTGCTCTTGTAGGATAAGGAAGTACGATTTTTGGCTTCAGATCTTTCTGATTTTCCTTCTCAATCACTGGTGGTATACAAACTTCCTTAGTTGGCTTTGGATCCTCTCTGATCTCTAAATACACCTCTAACAAACCTTCCTCTTCAATTACCTTTTCTTCAGCATTTCCAGCTAACTAACCGCTTCTAGTCACAATTGCATTCACAATATAATTATCTCTTGGATTTGTAATTGTTGCACTTAGCAGAGAGCCTGGTGCTTGAGCATTAGCCAGCTGTTATGCTATTTGTCCCATCTGAATCTCTAGATTTTTAATACAAGCGGAAGTGTTCTTCTGATTGTTTCTTATCTCTTCTTGGAACTGAATATTGTGAGCTGCCATCTTTTTAATGGCCAACTCCCAATCTGCTTTCTTAGGAGCTTGTTGTTGTTACTGTTGATATTGGTTTGGATATTGGCTTTGACCCTATTGCTGAACATTCCCTTTCTGATCCCTCCAGACAAAATTTGGATGATTTTTCTATCCAGGATTGTAAGTATGAATAAGGATTATTTTGCTTCAAGAACTTTATATCCTCAATTTGATGTGGAGTTGCAAAACAATATACAGTACTGTGTGATCCATTAAAAATTTCACAAACAACATTTTGTGCATGTTGGACTTAAGCCACCTGCTGAGTACCTATATTCATTGCCTTCAGCTTTTTCTCCGCCTCTACAACAATTGTTTCTTCGATTTTGATCTGTTTGTTGGCTTCCAATTTCAAATCAATTACTCCCTCTGGTTTAATTATAACCCTATCTTATAGCTCTAAATGCTCGTTTGTAGAAATTGCTTCAATTATCTTCTTAATACCAGTGGCTGTTGAAAACTTTGATGAGCCACCGACTACTGTGTCAACCAACTACTTCGTCTTAATTCTAAGACCATTCACAAACATTTGTATCTGCTCAGTCTGATACAAGTTGTGAGTAGGACAAGCCACTAGGAGTCTTTTGAATCTTTTATAGGCATCCCCTAGCGACTCACCCTCTTTTTGCTTGAAATTGAGGATCTCATATCTTTTTCTCATGAATACCGACGCCGGAAAGTACTCATTTAGGAATGTTGTTTCCATCACTTCCCAAGAAGTAATGCTACCAGGCGGAAGGGAATAAAACCACTCTTAAACCTCATTAGTTAAAATGAACGAAAACATCCGTAAATTCTTCGCTTCATCAGTATGCCCATCTATCTTCAAGGTGGTGCTCATAGTCAGAAACCTTTGTAAATGCTTGTTAGCTTCTTCGTTCACCCTTCTAGCGAAGGATCTCCTCTCAAGTTGAGTGATCGTGCTGGGAAACTAAAAGTTTGGTGCATTCATTGGTTGGTTCACAATTGTCAGTCTATCAGCCATTGCATTGTTTCGCCATAGTCACCAAGGAGTCTCTCAGGTGCTGGTGGATTTTCGCCTATAGTTTTGGGTTCTGATTCTGAATGAATTGAACTTTTTTCTTCGTCTGATGTCAGCCTAGCTTGTCGAGCTCTTCTACACCTGGCGTGAAAACTTCTTTCTATCGCTGCGTCAAAAGGAAATTCAGCCGAGGCCTTACCTCACATAAACAAATTAGACAAAAATTAGTAAAATTATTAAAAAAATAGAAAAATAAAATTTTAGTTGCAAAAAAACAAAATCTCAATTGAACTACAATTAAATTCTATATATTGGCAGTCCCTGACAACACCGCCAAAAACTTGATAGAAAAATTAACAAGTGTACTAATTTGCCTATGTAGTTTAATAATAGGGAAATTCCCCGAATATCGATCCTGAGGACCGCGTATACGTATGAAGCTTAATTCTTAGTTCAATTAAACAAAAACATAACTTTGGGGTTAATTTGGAATATATCCTTGACAATAATCAAAATAAGCATAATGTAAAGTTTGGCTTTTTCACAAATATGAGGAACATGTAGGGTCAGTGTATGATTTCCCTGTAATAATATTAAATCTTGATTTCTTCAATAGGTTCATAACATTCAATTACTAGATCTTTGGTTTATTTTCTCCTAAAGATCTTTCTATCTCTGCGCCAAAAGGAAATTCAGCTGAGGCCCTACCTCGCATAAACAAATTAGACAAAAATTAGTAAAATTATAAAAATAACAGAAAAATAAAATTTTAGTTGTAGAACAACAAAATTTCAATTGAACTACAATTAAACTCTATATATTGACAAGTCCCCACAATGGCGCCAAAAATTTGATCAGAAAATTAACAAGTGTACTAATTTGTCCATGTAGTTTAATAATAGGGAAATTCCCCAAATATCGATCTCGAAGACTGCGTATACGTATGGAGCTTAATTTTTAATTCAATTAAACAAAAACTTAACTTTGAGTTTGATTTGGAATATATCCTTGACAATAATCAAAATGAGCATAGTGTAAAATTTGACTTTTTCACAAATATGAGAAACATGCTAGGGCCAGTGTATGATTTGCCCCTGTAATAACCATGAATCCTGATTTCTTCAACAAGTTCATAACATTCAATTACGAGATCTTTAGTTTATTTTCTCTTAAATCCTTAGTGAGAAAATCTTTGGTCATTCATCCTAAAATCTAGGTTCTTAAAAAATTATGATGGAACCAAAGCTTTTATTTTATCAAGATTCACCGGGTAACTATAGGGTATCCCTAGTCCTAGTTGATATCTATTATAATTTAACCGTACAAAAAAAACCTTAACAACTGTGGTCCAACTAATTGTTAACCGTAGAATAATCCTTATTTTTTCGATAAAGAAAGTATTAAAAACCTTGTACAATTGAATTGAATAATAAAAACCATGGAATTGATAAAATTAGAAATTCAAAGTCATTACACGATCAAATCAGTGACACCCCCTAGCATTGGGGAGTTTAGCTACTCATGTTGTTCAAAAGAATTACAAATACATTAAAGATAGACATTATAGATAATTGAGGAATTTTTTATCTTCAATTGTGTCGACTCATGAAAGATCTTCGTTCTTCAATAATCTCATGTGTTGTTCTCTATCTCATGTGTTGTTCTCTTCAATCGTCTGAATTCTTCGTCTGCAAAAAGGTCCCCTTCGTCTGCAAAAAGGTCCCCTTCATCGTAGAAACTGTCTCAAAATAGTGCAAAACTCTTGGTTCCGGTCTGAAATGTAAAAAACGTCCTTCCGGATCATACATAGTGGAAAAATCACAAAAACATGAAAAATCAGCGCCTTGGCCAACACGATCTGTGTCAGCTGACACACGTGGCCGTATTGGCTCCCCTGTAACTTCACAAAACTTGGCCTTTTAAATATGCTGACACGACCCGTGTCAGGTGACACGGGTGACCGTGTCAACCCCCAGAGTTTCCTTCTTCTTCCAAGCTTCCCACCTGACACGGCCCGTGCCAGGTGACACGGGTGGCCGTGTCAGGCCTCCTGATACTTCATTTTTCTTCTGAGAAACTTCCGACTTCTTAACTTCCTCGCACCGAGTAACTTGGATCCTTCACCTGAATCTGAAACCGCCACAACAACCAACCAAAGCATAACACACAAAAATATTCGAAATAAAACTAAAAACCATAAAATACTGAAGAAACTTAAGAAACATAAAATCGACTCAAACTGTAACGAAATACGAAACAAAGTGATGCAGAATACCTGGATTATCGTCGGAAAAGTGACATAAACATAGTAAAAATGGTGACCGATCAAGATAAGTGTCCTAAAAAGAAATACTCTCTTCTCAATAAAGTCATAACAACATTTCATAAAATTAACTTGTTTCATTTTCTTTTCTTCATTCTTAAGAAACCAAATTTGTTCCATCAGAAAACACAAAAACAAATTATATATTTAAGAGTGTGTATAAGTGAGGAAATGATTTGGAGTAATGTACTTTTTTTTTGTTGAGAATATCTATTTTTTTAATGTAAATTCTATTGTTTTGATAATTTCAAAAAATTTCTTAAATATTTTTGTTTAAGATAAATTTATAAAACTTAAATAACATTTGTAGATAAAAATTTTGAAATTTTTTATTGACTTTTTACAAAAAAATATATTGAATTAATTATTATTAATTTTTAAAATTTTACAATATAATTATTATTTCTCTATTAATAATATAATAATAAAAAAATAGTTAATGTACTGATCAATAATATAGTTTTACATTGTCAATCAAATTATTCTTTTATTTTAATTTTTTTAATATCATGACATAATGCTTCTTTTTGGTATATCAATACATTTACTTTTTTTTTATTTATATTTTTGGTGTTGAAAATTGTATTTTCAATATTTTTAAATTGATCATTTCCATTAAAAAAAAGTACATATTAGCATGATACAAAAAAATTAAAGATAAAAAGTAGTGTAGGAGGCACACACGAGAAAGAAACGTCACCCATTGAAGAGGAGGCTGTACCACTGGCAGACTAACAGAATTCGAATCATGACAGGCATATCAGTTACCGGTATCACTCACACGCTCACCCCAACAATCTCTTCATTCACGCGCTTCTCACCCACTTTTTTCTCTTCTAACTTTCATCTTCGAGCTGCTGCTTCTTCTTCTTCAACTACATTTCTTGACACCAATCCAACTGTGGTAAGTAATATTGCTTCCTTCTCCTATTCATTTGTGGAGTTCATCAAAAAAGCACTTTAATTAATCGATTATTGAACGTGGTTTTGTGTTAAGGATTCCATCGTAGTTGAGAAGGAAGTTACTCGGAGCAGCAATCCCTTGGCTTGTCCTGTATGTTACAAATCGTTAAATTGGACTACTCGTCATGCTTTGTCGATGTAAGTTGCTGGTGTTCGTAATCGATTCTTGTCTTCAACTGTTAGCTTGTGTTTTGTTCTGCAATAGCAAAATTGATTTATGTTTGGGTATTTTCATGCTAAATTGTTTTGAACCCTGAATTTTAGCCTGAAATCACATTTAAATGTAAAAGCTACATATCATAATTTCTTTATAATCAATTTAGAGTTCTAGTTAGTTAGTGTATCTTTGGTTGTTGGAAGAGAAGAATTGATTTTGGAAGAATCAAAAGTAATTTTAGAGGTATAAAATTGATGTTGGTGTGATTTTGAGGTGTTTGGTTATTCTAAAGTAGAAGTGATTCTGCCTCTAAAAATAATTTTATTTGAAGTTAGAATTTGTAGCTTTTGAATTTAAACGTGATTTTTACATTGAAATGTGTTGTTCAACTCATTTTTACATAAATTATCCAAACATAAATCAATTCTGCTAAAACTCAATTATGTCAAAATCAATTCTAGCTACCGCCAATCCAAACATACGTGTATCTTTGGTTTCACATTTGATCACCCAAAATTGATTCTATACATCTAAAATTGATTTTGACATGTTTGGTTGTTCTCGAGTAGAATTGATTATGATTTCAAGAATTGATTTTACTTGAAATTAAGATTTGTAGTTTTTGAGTTTAAACGTGATTTTTATGTTAAAATTTTTTGTTTAACTCACTTTTTGCAGAAATTAACTAAACATAAACTGACTGATAATATGTTTGATTTGACTTTTAGAAGAGACAAAAATAATTCTAGAGATATAAAATTGATTCTAGAGTGATTTTGAAGTGTTTGATTCTTTTAAAGTTGAATTACTCCTGCCTCTGAAATTGATTCTACTCTAAGCTAGAATTTGTAGTTTATGAGTTTAAGCTTAATATTTACAATGAAATTTGTTCTTCAACTTACTTTTACATAAATGTATCCTAAACATAAATCAATTATGCTAAACTTAATTTTATTAAAATCAATTCTACCAAATTCAATTCTGTCAAAATCAATTATGTCCAGCGCCAATCCAAACACACACCGAATCAATTTTAGAAAATCAATTCAGTCAAAATCAATTTTATTCACCACAAAATCCAACACACATTTTATAAAATTGATTTTAATATGTGATTTGAATGTAAAGTGATTTATGTTTAGATGTATTTATATTAAAGTGAGTTGAACTACATTTCAGTGTAAAAATCATATTTAAATTTAAAAGCTATAAATTCTAACTTTATGTTAGATGAGGCAAATTCAAGTATACCCGAGAAGAAACAAACATGTCAAAATCAATTTTATACTTTTAAAATCGATTCTATTAGAGTGCTTTAAAGGTGAAACCAAGCATACTAACCCCAAACATATAAAAGTTAATTTGAAGCCTTCATAATCACTTTTGCTATTCCAAAAATGAATGGAAACATGTAACTAGTGCATGTTTGGTATCATGGAAGGTTTCTTGAAATCATTGCGTGTTTGAGTATTTTTGTTTTAATATATGTATTCACATTCACATGTTGTTACGTTTTTTAACTGGTTTATAATTCTTCATTGGATTGGATATTTGATGCAGAGATACCATCCCTGGATCTAGTTTACAATGTAGAACCTGTCAGAAAGCATACGTTGGTAACCAAACGCATCTTGATCTCACGGCAATAAGCGGTGCTAAGAACTATGGTGAATCCATGCCAGCTTCCACTGAGCTTTTCAGGTATGCGGGTTCCCTATTTTTATTTTCATTTTTTCCATGCCAGCTTCCACTGAGCTTTTCATGTATGCGGGTTCCCTATTTTTATTTTCATTTTTTCCTTGGATATGAAATGTTTTATTTATTTTTTTACGTTTTTATCTTGTATTTGGTATTTTTTGTTTGAACTCTGTATGTGGATGATTCTGATAGAAACTGAAAATGTTTGAACTACTAATTCAAGCATAACCAAGTCTTGTTACATAGTTTTTGTTTGAAGTATAATTTTTATTCTGTCGAAATGTATGTGTGGTGTATGTCGAATAGCTTATTGTATAGGTTATAAGTTGTATTTGACAGAATCGAATACAGTAGATATTGTAGTATGTCGAAATCATGTTTTAGGCTTTAGCGTGTTTTGTCTAATTGAATCTGAGCATTATTTGTCTGTATAAAGGACTGCTGAGTTTGTAACCAATGTGTAATCAATAACATATTTATTACAATTCGGTTAAAATCATAATAAACTTTCAATTCTCTCTCTTCTCTCTTCTTCTTCTCTTCCATAAATCATCTTTCTTGAAAACCCTTTGTTCCAACAAATTGGTATAACAGAGCTCGGTTGCGATTCAGAAAGAATCTAATGGCAAACGGAACAACAGCGTCAACGCAGTTTCCAGTGAATCTATCGGTTTTCAAAGGTGAAAACTATCAGCGGTTGGTTGCGCATATGAAGGTTATTTTCAGATTTCAAGATGTTGTTGAAATCTTGAATGATGGAGTATCAGAACTAGAAGCAAATGCAACAGAAGCCCAGAAAACTGCGCACAAAGATCATAGGAAGAAAAATGGTAAAGCACTATTCTTGATTCACCAGTGTGTGGATTTTGATGTATTTGAGAAGATAATTGAAGAAGAAACAACAAAAGGAGCTTGGGAAAAGCTAAAAAATTTGTATGGTGGAGATGAAAAATTAAAGAAGGTGAAGTTGCAGACGCTAAGGAAGCAATACGAGATGCTTCAGATGAAAGAAGATGAATCAATTTCTGCATATTTCTCAAGAATTGTGACGCTAACAAACCAGATGAAGGCATGTGGTGAATCAGTTACGGATCTGCAGAAGATAAAAAAAGTGTTGAGATCTTTAACTCCAGATTTTGACTACATTGTTGTGACAATTGAAGAGGCCAAAACTCTATCTGAGATGAAGTTGAAAGAATTTCAAGCTTCATTGGAGGCTCATGAAATAAGGTTGAAGCAGAGAAACTCAGAAAGAGAGAAGGTGACGGAACATGCATTGCAATCAAGATTCAGCAAGAAAGCTGGAAAAGAGAAGTCGAAGCAGCGTAAGAATCTTGCTAGTGATGAGAAGTCAAGCAAGAATACTAATTCGATCAAGAAAGGTGTGGGCAACAAGTATTCTGGGAAAAAAGTTGACACGAAAGAGGTGCAATGTTACAATTGTCAAGGTTTTGGTGACTATGCTGGAGACTGTCGAAGAAAGAAAGTTGTGAAGGCGAAAGATAGTGATGGAGCTCAATATGCACGAGCTGGAGATAATGATTCTGATGATGTGTTTGGCTATGGCATCACATGTATGGATATCTAAATTTAAGAAGTTTATGCATGCTCAATCAAAAAAGGCTGGTGTTTGGGTTTCCGTATGTAAAGGAACCAAAGCAGGTATGCGAGGAATGCTGCAAAGCAAAACAAGCTAGGAGGGCATTCAAACATGACTTGTCCGTGAAATCAGAGCAAAAACTGGAGCTGGTTCATTCTGATGTGTGTGGACCCTTTGAAGTAAAGTCAAATGGAGGTAACGGGTATTTCCTTACTTTCATTGATGAATTTACCAGACACATGTGGATTTACCTTATTGAAAGAAAGAGTGAGGTATTCACACAGTTCAAGAAGTTCAAGTTGCATGCTGAGAAACAAAGTGGCTGTAAATTGAAGAAGTTAAGAACTAATGGTGGTGGTGAATATACTTCTGCTGAATTTGTTAGATTTTGCAATGAGGAAGGTATAGATCATGAGGTTATTGCACCCTATACGCCTCTGTATAATAGCATAGCTGAGAGAAAGAATAGAAGTATATTGAACATGACGAGAAGTATGTTGAAAGCTAAAGATATATCTAAGAGATTTTGCGCTGAAGCAGCTTCAACAACAGTATATATTCTAAATAGATGCCCAATAAAGAAGATGGTCGAAAAGACACTGCATGAGACTTGGACAAGGTCGAAGCCAAATGTGAGTCATCTTAGAGTTTTTGGATCAATGTGCTTCAGGCCTGTACCTGAACAATTGAGAAAGAAGCTGGATGATCGAAGTGAAGTCATGGTGCTCATAAGTTATCATTCGACAAAATAAAGATAAACTAGTGATCAGTCGAGATGTTCTTGTAGACGAAAGCAAATAGTGAGACTGGAGTCAAAGTTTAGTTCGACAAGAATCAGATACAGTTACAACGAAGAAGATGAACAGAACGAAGCTTCAACGAGTCGAAATGAACAAGGTTATGCTTCAACCAGTCAAAATGAAGAACCACATGTGCAGAATGAAAGAAAGTCGATAAGAACAAGAACTGAGTCGACCAGGCTAACTGGATATGAAAGGTTTTCAGATCAAGCAGTTGATGCAGATGGTGACTTAATCGAAGAAGCCATGATGATGGCTGAAGTAGAACCAATTGATTTGAGTGAAGCCATGAGCAATTCGAATTGGTGTGAAGCCATGAAAGAAGAACTCATAGCTATTGAGAAGAACAAGACCTGAGAGCTTGTCGAAAGAACCAACAAGAAACCAATCGATGTAAAGTGGATTTACAAGGTGAAACGAAGGCCAAATGGTGAGATTGTGAAGTATAAAGCAAGATTGGTGGCGAGAGGTTTTCTACAAAAACCTGGTATTGACTTCGACGAAGTATATGCGCCTGTTGCGAGGTTAGAAACAATCAGAATTGTTGTTTCGACAACAACATATAGAGGATGGAAGATGCATCAGTTAGATGTAAAGTCAGCATTTTTGAATGGTCCATTGGAAGAAGAAGTCTATGTTACTCAACCACCAGGATTCGACGTCAAAGGGCATGAGTCGAAGGTATATAGATTAAGGAAGACTCTCTAGGGTTTGAAGCAAGCTCCTAGAGCTTGGAATAAGAGGATAGATAGCTTCCTGATCGAAGCAGGTTTCACAAAGTGCGTCTCTGAACATGGAGTGTATGTAAATGATATCAACAGTGTCAGTCGAATCATTTTATGCCTCTATGTTGATGACTTACTCATTACAGAAGCAGACGAAGCTGGGATAATGAAAGTAAAGTCGAAATTAATGCAGGAATTCGAAATGTCTGACTTAGGGAATCTCTCATATTTCCTAGGGATGGAATTCAAAGATACTGAAGAAGGAGTATTCTTGCATCAAACGAAGTATGCTCAAGATATTTTGAAGAGGTTTAAAATTAGCAATTGTAATGAAGTTGTCACTCCGTTAGAAACTGGAGCAAAGTTGAAAAACGAAACGAATGATGAGTTTGTAAGTTCGATCCTTTACAAACAAATCATTGGATCCTTGAGATATCTTTGCAATACTAGACCAGATATCTGCCAAAGTGGAGGATTGTTGAGTAGATTTATGAAGAAACCACAAGAATGTCATCTCATCGCAGTAAAGAGGGGGTTGTGATACATAAAGGGAACAATTGATCATGGTGTGCTGTTACCAAAGAAGTCAAAGAACAACACAGATGTCGAAGTTCATGGATACACTGACTCAGATTTCATGGAGATCAAGACGAAAAGAAAAGTACTGTAGGCTACATTTTCATGATCGAAGGTGCTCCAATCTCTTGGAGTTCGAGGAAGCAAAGCATTGTGGCTTTGTAATCATGCGAAGCATAATATGTGGTTGCATCATATGCTGCATGTGAAGCAACATGGATCGAAATGTTACTTGAAGAACTCAGGATAATGGAACCTAAGAAGATGAAGTTGTTTGTCGACAGCAAGTCAGCTATTAACCTGGCGAATCACCCAGTGTGTCATGGTCGAAGTAAGCACAAAAAAAGAAGGTATAATTTTCTGATGGATCAAGTCAACAAAGAGAAGTTTGAGATAAAGCATTGCAAGACAGAAGTGCAACTAGGTGACATGTTTACCAAACCTCTGAAGAAAGTCAGATTCGACGAGTTAAAGAGAAGCATCGGGATGAGAAGTCTCGAAAATATGAATTAGGGGGTGTGTTAGAAGTATAGTTCTTGTTCTGTCGAAATGCAATAGTGGTGTATGTCGAATAGCTTATTGTATAAGTTATAAGCTGTATTCGATAGAGTCGAATACAACAGATATTATAGTGTGTCGAAATCATGTTTTAGGCTTTAGCGTGTTTTGTCTAATTGGGTCTGGGTATTGTTTGCATATATAAAGGGTTGCTGAGTTTGTAATCAGTGTGCAATCAATAACATATTTTTTATAATTCAGTTAAAATCATAACAAACTTTCAATTTTCTCTCTTCTCTCTTCTTCTTCTTTTCTTCCATAACTCATCTTTCTTGAAAACCCTTTGTTCCAACAGCTTTATCATATAACTAATGGTTTCAGTTTTTCATTTGTTGATTGCAATGAATTTTCCAAAAAGAAAATCTTGGATTTGAGATGCATTGTATTTGCAATCAATGTGATCAAACAGAAGATTTTAAGTAGAACCAGTCAGCTTGTGAAAAATCGTAAAACTCAGATCATTAGTACAACACGTAAGATCCTACCGACGACAACGATCTTTCTCTGATTGTAGCACTTTCAGGCATTCTTGGCACGTAAGATCTTACGATCTTACAATCCAACACTCGATATTGACTACACTGTATGCAATGGTGTTCCCAAATACAATGGTGGTGTCGGGTGTAAGAGTGATTGCATTATAACTAGTTGCCACCACATTGTTTTATAAAGAATTCTGGAAACAGTTTTAGGCACTACATTTTTCATCATTTAATCATATTTCTACATCTGGTATTTAGTTTTAGCAATTTTAGGTACCACACAGATATGATAAAACTGTTGGAACAAAGGATTCAAGAAAGATGATTTTTGAGAAAACAAGAAGAAGAAGAAGGAGAGAGAGAGATTGTGAGTTAGTTAAGCGTAACTAACTTTCTAACTGAATGTATTATTGCTGCTCTATTGATTACAAACATAATGACCCTTTATATAGGCAAAGTGCCCAGGCCCAAATACACATGCTAAAAGCCCAAATATAACTGAACAAGAATTATACAACTCACACACCCCCTAATTCATGTTCTTGAGACTTCTCATCCCGATGTCTTTCTTTAACTCTTCGAACCTCACTTTCTTCAGAGGTTTGGTGAATATGTCAGCTAGTTGCACTTCTGTCTTGCAATGTTTTATTTCTAGCTTCCCTTTGTTGACTTGATCCCTCAGAAAATGATACATTCTTTCAATGTGTTTACTTCGACCATGACACACTGGGTGATTCGCAAAGTTTATTGCTGACTTGTTATCAACAAACAGCTTCATCTTCGATTCCATTATTCTGAGTTCTTCAAGTAGCATTTCGATCCATGCTGCTTGGCATGTAACATATGATGCAGCCACATATTCTGCTTCGCATGATGACAAAGCCACAATGCTTTGCTTCCTCGAGCTCCAGGAGATTGGAGCTCCTTCGATCATGAAAATCTATCCTACAATACTCTTCTTTTCGAATTGATCTCCACTGAAGTCTGAGTCAGTGTATCCATAAACTTCGACATCTGAGCTGTTCTTTGATTTCTTTGGTAACAACACACCATGCTCAATAGTTCCTTTTATGTATCTCAACACCCTCTTTACTGCGATGAGATAACATTCTTGAGGCTTCTCTATAAATCTGCTCAACAATCCTACACTTCGGCAGATATCTGGTCTAGTATTGCAAAGATACCTCAAGGATCCAATAATTTATTTGTAAATGGTCGAACTTACAAATTCATCATTCGATTCCTTTTTCAGCTTTGCTTCAGTCTCTAATGGAGTAACAACTGCCTTACAGTTGCTCATATGGAACCTCTTTAGTATATCTTGAGCATACTTCATTTGATGTAAGAAAACTCATTCTTTGATGTCTTTGAATTCTATTCCCAGAAAATAGGAGAGATTCCCTAAATCAGACATTTCGAATTCCTGCATTAACTTCGACTTTACCTTCATTATCTCAGCTTCGTCTGCTGCTGTAATGAGTAAGTCATCAACATAGAGACATAAAATGATTCGATTGACACGTTCGACATCATTTACATATACTCCATGTTCAGAGACACACTTTGTGAAACCTGCTTTGATTAGGAAGCCGTCTATCCTTTTATTCCAAGCTCTAGGAGCTTGCTTCAAGCCATAGAGAGGCTTCCTTAATTTGTAAACTTTTGACTCCTGCCCTTTGACGTCGAAACCTGGTGGTTGAGTAACGTAGACTTCTTCTTCCAATGGACCATTCAAAAATATTGACTTTACATCAAGTTGGTGCATTTTCCATCCTCTACATGCAGCTATCGAGACAACAATCCTGATTATTTCGATCCTCGCAACAGGCGCATATACTTCATCGAAATCAATATCAGGTTTTTGTAGAAAACCTCTGGCCACCAGTCTTGCCTTATACTTTGCAATCTCACCATTTGGCCTTCGTTTCACCTTGTAAATCCATTTCACATCGATTAGTTTCTTGTTGGTTCTTTCGACAAGCTCCCAAGTCTTGTTCTTCTCAATGACTCTAAGTTCTTCTTTCATGGCTTCACACCAATTAGAATTGCTCAAGGCTTCGCCCAAATCAATTGGTTCTGCTTCAGCCATCATCATGGCTTCTTCGATTAAGTCATCATCTGCATCGATTGCTTGATCTGGAAACCTCTCATATCCAATCAGCCTAGTCGACTCAGTTCTTGTTCTTGTGGATCTTCTTTCATTCTGCACAGGTGGCTCTTCATTTCGACTTGTCGAAGCTTCGTTCTGTTCATCTTCTTCAAACACAATTGTGACTGTGTCTGATTCCTGTCGAACTGAACTATGACTCCAATCCCACCCTTTGCTTTCGTCTACAAGAACATCTCTACTGATCACTAGTTTATCTTCGATTGGTGAATACAACTTGTATGCACCAGTCGAATGATAACCTATGAGTATCATGACTTCACTTCGATCATCCAACTTCTTTCTCAATTGTTCAGGTACATGCCTGAAACATATTGATCCAAAAACTCTAAGATGACTTACATTTGACTTCGATCCTGTCCAAGCCTCATGCGGTGTCTTTTCGACCATCTTCTTCGTTGGACATCTATTTAGAATGTATACTGCTGTAGAAGCTGCTTCAGCTCAAAATCTCTTAGGCATATTCTTAGCTTTCAACATACATCTTGTCATGTTCAATACATTTCTATTCTTTCTCTCAGCTATGCCATTATGCTGAGGCGTATAGGGTGCAATAACCTCATGCTCTATACCTTCCTCATTGCAAAATCTAGTAAATTCAACAGAAGTATATTCACCACCACCATCCGTTCTTAACTTCTTTAATTTGCAGCCACTTTGTTTCTCAGTATGCAACTTGAACTTCTTGAACTGTGTGAATACCTCACTTTTCTTTTTGATAAGGTAAATCCACATATGTCTGGTGAATTCATCAATAAAAGTAAGGAAATACCTGTTACCTCCATTCGACTTTACTTCAAAGGGTCCACACACATCTGAATGAATCCGCTCCAGTTTTTGCCTTGATCTTATGGGCAAGTCACGTTTGAATGCCTTCCTTGCCTGTTTAACTTTGCAGCATTCCTCACATATCTGCTTTGATTCCTTCACATACGGCAACCCAAGCACCATTCTTTTCTTATTGAGCATACATAAACTCTTGAAGTTTAGATGTCCGTACCTGTAATGCCATAGCCACCATAGCCAGTTCTTGTCTTCTTCTGTAGTTGAAGCAAGACATTTGTGATATGATGTGTTGAGTTCAATCTTGAACGTTTTGTTCTCCGCCAATGGTGCTTTCATTATTAGCCTCCCATCATCCCTATATACCTTCATCTGATTATTCTCCAACTTCATATTGAAGCCTTTTGCAAGTAATTGACCTACACTTATCAAGTTACTTGTCATTGAAGGTACATATAGAACTTCAGTGATAGTAGCCTTTCGACCATCCTTTCTGATAATCAAAATATCTTCTTTACCGCCTGATTTGATATGTCTTCCATCTGCAAACTTTATCACCTTTTCGACTGACTCATCTAACTTGGTAAACCAGTTTTTATTGCCAGTCATGTGGTTGCTACATCCTGAATCCAGATACCACATGTTGTTTTTCTCAGTAGTCGACTGAGTGTTTACCAGCAACAACACATCATCAAAATCACTATCTCCAGCTCGTGCATATTGAGCTTCATCACTATCTTTCGACCTTGCAGCTTTCTTTCTTCGACAGTCTCTAGCATAGTGGCCAAAACCTTGACAATTGTAACATTGCACCTCTTTCGTATTAACTTTCTTCTCAGAATATTTGTTGCCCACACCTTTCGAGTCAGTATTCTTGCTTGACTTCTCATCACCAGCAAGATTCTTTCGCTGCTTCGACTTCTCTTTTCCAGCTTTCTTGCTGAATCTTGATTGCAATGCTTGTTCAGCTGCCTTCTCTCTTTCTGAGTTTCTCTGCTGCAGCCTCATTCGTGAGCCTCCAATGAAGCTTGAAGTTCTTCCAACTTCATCTCAGATAGATTCTTGGCCTCTTCAATTGTCACAACAAAGTAATCGAAGTCTGCAATTAAAGATCTCAATACCTTTTCTATCTTTTGCAGATCCGTACACGCTTCACCACATGCCTTCATCTGGTTTGTTAGCGTCACAATTCTTGAGAAATATGCAGAAATAGATTCATCCTATTTCATCTGAAGCATCTCGTACTACTTCCTCAGTGTCTGTAACTTCACCTTCTTCAGTTTCTCATCTCCACCATACAAGAATATCAGCTTTTCCCAAGCTCCTTTTGCTGTTTCTTCTTCAATTATCTTCTCGAATATGTCACAATCCACACATTGGTGAATCAAGAACAACGCCTTGCCATCTTTCTTCCTCTGATCTTTGTGCGCAACTTTCTGGACTTCCGTAGCATCTACTTCCATTGTTGATATTCCATCATTCAAGATTTCTACGACATCTTGAAATCTAAAAATAACCTTCATTTGCGCAACCCACCGTTGATAGTTTTCACCTTTGAAAACCGATAGATTCGTTGGAAACTGTGTTGATGTTGTTGATCCGTTTGCCATTAGATTCTTTCTGAATCGCAAACAAGCTCTTGATACCAATTTGTTAGAACAAAGGATTCAAGAAAGATGATTTTTGAGAAAACAAAAAGAAGAAGAGAGAGAAATTATGAGTTAGTTAAGCGTAATTAATTTTCTAACTGAATGTATTATTGCTGCTCTATTGATTACAAACACAATGACCCTTTATATAGGCAAAGTGCCCAGGCCCAAATACACTCGCTAAAAGCTCAAATATAATTGAACAAGAATTATACAACTAACAAAAATAGTGTTCGAAGCATTGATATTAAATATAGTGTTCATATTAATAATTTGTTATATAATGACACACTGCTGCTGAAAAATATAATTTGTTGTCAAAATGTTGTAAACTTGAATTTGAAGTTGACTTGCCACTTCTATGCATAACGATTGTTTGTTGAATCAGGACGCCGTTGATATCATTTCTCTATGAGAGGGGCTGGCGTCAAACCTTTTCTGTATTGGGTGGTTTTCCAGGTCCCGAGAAAGAGGTTAATTATATGTCTCAGTTTCTAATTGCATTTTCTTCTTGTTGGACCCACATTTTTTTTCTCAAATATGGTTTCCTATGAATAAACTGGTGATTTTATCCTCTACCTTCCACTTTCTTCAGTAGGGATATTATACAATTGGAAGAAATGTGATTCTTGAATTTGTTATATAGGTTCATTAAGAGTTTAGAGGAGCATCTTAAAGTTAAACTGATTCAATAATCCAAGAACTACTTATGCTAAGCAGCTTATCCGATGACCAGGTTGTGCCTTAACTTGTTGGTATTTGTCACTATAAACTAAAAATTGAGCTTATCGACCTAAGCTTAAAGTAATTTATGTGAGCTCCATAAGCTATTTTTCGTTAGTACACCCAGCTCCAAAGTAGCTCGTATATGCCCAAACTTAGATCACTGGTGTCTTGAGAGCTATACCATTCAGTTTGTTTTTAGATCTGTCTTCTACATCTTGCCTGTCACATGTACTTCTAAAAAAATATTAAAACTATATTGTTGAATTAGTAAAGGACCGTGCGTTCACACGGGTCCAAAATCGATATAAATATTAAAAAAATATTATATAATTATAACTAAAAAATGTATAAAAATATATATACGAATTATGAGAAAAAAACATTTTAATGATAATTGTCATATAAATATTAATTTAATTTATCAAATTATAATAGTTATTAGAAAATACATAAAAAATATTTAAAAAATATATGAATATTTAATATAATACACTTCATATATATATATATATATATATATATATATATATATATATATATATATATATATATATATATATATATATATATATATATATATATATATATATATGGATTGATGTATATAAATCTACTATATAAAATAACAAAAAATAAGATTCAAATTAAAATTATGATGTAAAAATTTGATATAGAAATATTTATTAATTATTCCCGTTTATAACAATAATTGTATCAATAGTAAATTTTTTTCCGTTTATACAAATATTTATAAGTTTTCCTGTTTATAAAAATAATTATATAAATAATATATTTTTTCGCGTTTATAAAAATATTTGTAATTTATCTTAAAATAATTGTATCAACATTACATTTTTTTTTATGTTATTAAAAATATTTGTAACTTCTTCCCGTTTATAAAAATAATTGTATCAACAATTTTTTTCTGTTTATAAAACCACGTGTAACTTATTTTCGTTTATAAAAATAATTGTATCAACCATAAATATTTTTCCTTTATAAAAATAAAAACAAAAACTATATTAATCAATATTCTTTAAAAAAATATTAATTTTTTAAAAAGAACATCATAAATAAATCAAATTGATATATATATAATTATTGTATAATATTTTTTACATGAATATAATTAAAAAAATAACATTCCAATGTAGATATCATTAAAAAGATAACATGAATATAATTAATAAAATAACATGAATAAATTCATATATTGAAAGTTTGAATTTTTATTGAAAATTGAAAGTAATCATATTAATCAGCCTAAGTAATCGGTATATGCATTATTGTTTTGGAATGAAAAATTGTGTGAGTTACATTTTGGAACACAAATCTTGAAATGTAGTTACATTTAGGAACACGTAAAAAAATGATACAATGACGACAAAAGTATAGAAATATGAGATATGGATTAAAAAACGGTATAAATACCCATAATTACAAATAAATATTTTAAAATATACTTATAAAATATTTAATATTTATATATTTTTATTTAATATTTATATATTTTAGGATATAAATAAAAAATTGAGTGACACTCAAGACAATAATAATTTATTAATTTTACAATCGAAAAAGAAATATTTTCGATGAATGAAAAAAACAGACCTTTGAAATATATAGGATAATCTCTTCCTTCCAATCTATTTTTAAATACTACTTTTTTATTTATTATAGTAATTATATAAGATTCTGAATTTACGTAATATAATTAATGTCAAAATTAAAATTAAAATATATTTTATTTGGCATTGTCATATTTTGTCAGTGATGATCCGAGTAAAAAATTTGTTTGTTCTGGATTTATGTTTATATGTTTGGATAGAAAAAAGAAAAACAAAAGGAATAGAGGAAGAGAAAGTAAAAGTGAGAGAGAAAGGCATTTAGACATGTTTTTTTTCTTTTTCATATTTTGTGTGTTTGCTTGTTGTTTATTTATTTTGAATATTTAGAATGCAAAGAGTTTTATTGTATATATATTTTGAAGAATGCAAAAAATATAAAAATATATAACTTTATTATATTAATAATAGATTAATAATAGATTTGACTGCAGTTTGAAATTGTTAAGAGAATAGAAAGCAGTTAAACTGTAACAGAATTGAATCACACTTCATTGCTCTTAGAATCGTTACAACAGACCCATATATAGGCCTAATAGAAATGCCAGCTCAGCAAAGCTGAACTAACTAAACAATCTATATATATAGGCCTAATAGAAGAGTAATCTATATTTATCTCTAATAGTCCCCCTTAGAAACCAAGGGTGCCTTCAAAAGTTCCTTTGTGTTGTAAACTCTCAGTTTGTCCCTTAGAGGGAGAAACTTATTAGCAGAAAGTGGCTTAGTAAGGGCATCTGCCCATTGATCTTGAGCTGGAACATGAGCAACTGTCAAGCTTTTGTTGAGGACTTTTTCTCTAACAAAGAAAATATCAAGCTCCATGTGCTTTGTCCTATTGTGAAGAATAGGATTATGAGCCAAAGTGACTGTACTTAAGTTGTCACAGAGAATTCTAGGAATCTGAAATTGACAGTGAAGTTCAGTTAAGAGAGATTGAATCCAAATCAGTTCAGCAGCTAATTGAGCCATACTTCTATACTCGGCTTCAGCACTAGACCTTGCCACAAGTTGCTGCTTCTTTGACCACCAGGATATGAGATTAGGACCTAAAAACACACAGGCACCTGAAGTGGATCTTCTATCATCAGGGTCTGCTGCCCAGTCAGCATCACAGAACCCTAAAAGAGACAGAGGCTGCTGCTTGGAGGCAGGCTGAATGAGTAAACCATGATGAACTGTTCCACTAAGATACCGAAGTATCCTCTTGACAGCCTTCCAATGCTCCTCTAACGGATTGGAAAGGAATTGGCAGACTTTATTGACAGAAAAAGAGAGTTCAGGTCTGGTTAATGTTGCATACTGTAGGGCTCCAACTACAGATCTGAAAAGAGTGGGATCAGCAACAGACTCTGAACCACATTTAGAGAGTTTGCTGCTTGAAACCATAGGGGTGGGCATAGAGTTAGCAGTGGACATGTTTACTCTAGCAAGCAAATCAGTGATGTACTTGGACTGAGAGAGAAGTAAGGCTCCATTGGGAAGATGATTCACTTGAATCCCTAAGAAATAGTCCAGTTGCCCCAAGTCTTTAAGAGCAAATGTGGTGTTGAGAGTTTTGATAAGATTAGAAATATAAGAGGGAGAATTTCCTGTGATTATTATGTCATCCACATACACTAAAATCAAGATGGTTAGGCTGTCACTGTGAAGAAAAAATAGACTAGGATCACACTTGCTTGCCTTCAGCCCAAGCTTGAGGAGAAAACCTTTCAGCCTATCAAACCAGGCCCTGGGGGCCTGCTTTAGCCCATATAAAGCTTTGTTAAGCTTGCAGACAAGGGACCTGTCATCAGCTTCAAAGCCAGGTGGCTGCACCATGTAGACTTCTTCTTCAAGAATGCCATTTAGAAAGGCATTGTTGATGTCAATTTGCCTAATAGACCACCTGTTTGAAACAGCCAGAGTTAGCACAGTTCTAACAGTAACCGGTTTGACAACCGGAGAAAATGTCTCAGTAAAGTCACTGCCAGCCCTTTGATGGAAGCCTTTGGCTACCAGGCGAGCCTTATATCTGTGAATGGAGCCATCAGGATGTTCCTTAACACGAAAAACCCACTTACAGCCAATAGGCTTAGCTGAAATAGGAGGAGTCACCAAGTTCCACGTCTGATTTTTCAAGAGTGCCTGAAATTCATCCTTCATGGCCTGAAGCCAGTGAGGGGAAGCCAAAGCTTGTTTAACTGTTGTAGGTTCCATGTGGGTTAAGAGAAGGGTGGGGTGACGTTTGGGTTGCACAATCCCAGATTTAGCACGGGTTTGCATAGGATGAACATTAAGGGAATGAATTGGATGAGACATAGGAGCATGAGGAGAGCTGGAACCAATTGGTGAGGCAGAAGATGGCTGAGAGAAAGGAGAAATGGTGCTGTTTTCAGCTATGTCAGCCATAGCAGATTGAGAGGACTGAGGAGATGCCAAACTATTGTTGGAGATAGCATCTGAAGCTGCTGATCCTAGGACAGAACTAGATTGCACAGGAGAACCTTGGGTTACATGGGAAGAAATAGGAGTATGGAGGGGCTGATTCATAGTGGGTGAAGCAGGAGGAACTTGATGCAAAGGGGTAGCTTGGATGGGAGGCAGAATAGGTGGCATGGCAGAAGTATACCATGAGTGAGATGAGGGAGCAGAGGTAGATGACTGGGATGGGAAAAACAGTTCTAGATAGGGGAATCTACCCTCATTAAAAAGGACATCCTTGGAGATGTAGATAGTGCCATTGGCAGCCAAACATTTGTAACCTTTGTGACTTGAGGAATAGCCTAGAAACACACACTCTTGAGAACGAAAATCCAGTTTGTGTGAGTTATATGGCCTAAGAAAGGGAAAGCAAGCACATCCAAATACACGAAGACAAGAATAGTCAGGGGATTTGTGCATTAGAAGAGTATAAGGAGACAAATTGTTAAGAGAGGTGCTAGGCAGTCTATTGATAAGAAAGGCTGCAGTGACAAAGGCATGATCCCAATAACGCATTGGGAGTTTGGAGTGTGCTAAAAGAGCTAAACCGGTTTCAACAATGTGACGATGTTTCCTTTCCACTATGCCATTTTGATGGTGTGTGTAAGGACAGGTAAATCTATGCACAATACCTAAGTTGGTGAGGTACTTGGTGAAAGGTTTGAACTCACCACCTCCATCACTTTGGACAGTTTTAATTTTGCAATTAAACTGAAGTTCTACCATGGTTTTAAATTGAATGAATTGGGATAGGGTGTGAGATTTTAGTTTGAGTGGAAAGACCCAAACAAATCTAGAGAATGCATCCACACAGGTTAGGAAATAGGAATAACCACCTGAAGATGACACAGGAGCTGGCCCCCATAAGTCACAGACAACTAACTCAAAGGGATGGTGATAAATGGTAGTTGATAAAGAGGAAGGAAGTCTGTGTGATTTGCCTTGACAGCAGGCAGCACATAGAGCATTTGGTGGTTTGGGAGGGAGAGGAATATTGCACAGTTTGAGTACTTCAGAGAGGGCATGGTGATGGGGATGGCCAAGTCTTGAATGCCATAGATGATATTTAGAATCTGAGATAGTTATATTGACTGCAGGATTAGTAGTAGACACAGAATATGGCTTAGTAAAATTTGAAATACTTTTATTCATAGTGGATGGAGTATTACAAAGATCAGCATTACAATGTTCAATAGATATTGCTGCAGATAGAGTACTTAGACAAGATGGACTAGGCTTATTACAAATGCTATTTCTATTAGGCTGAAGCTTGGACATAGCAGGATTAGCAAATCTGTAGAGACCATCAGCTCCCACAGTGCCATGAAGAAGAATCTCAAAAGAATCCTGCGATTTGACAAGACAAAACTGAGGATGGAATTCAAAGAAAACACGATTATCCTGAGCAAACTTGCTGACACTGATGAGATTCTTAGTGATATGAGGTACAAGCAGAAGTTTAGTGAGAATTAGAGAAGAATTAGGCTGTGTTTGTGAGGGAAAAGTCATAGAACCTACAGAATTAATTAACAAACCTTGGCCATTACCCATGTACACTTGTTCAGTTCCATTCAGAGATGAAGCATCAGACAAATTCGAAGCATCAGGTGTCACATGGTGAGATGCGCCGGAGTCAGGGTACCACCATTGGTTGCTGAAATGAGGATCAGATCCTGCAATAAAGGCTTGAGGAACAGGTGCTCTTGGTGGTGCTGAAGCACGGGGAGGAGCATAACCATACGCATTATAGGTAGGAGCACGAGGTGGCACTGCATAAGGATTGAATGGAGCTCTGGGAGCATTGAATGAGGGAGTTCCAGGATAGGAATACCTGTGGTAGCAGACAGATGCATCGTGACCAGATTTGCGGCAAATTTGACATGAAACTCTCCCAAATCGGCCACCACCACGACCGGAGCGACCTCCACCACGCCAATTACGTCCACCATGAGTTCCGTATCCTTGATTCTCAGCGTTTGCTGTAATATGACTGGTACCAGTAGGAAATTCAGAACTAGAATCCACACCAGAAGCATCTGTAGTGGACTGTGACGGTGCTGGTGATGATTGAGTTAGATTCACTGTAGCAGATTCAGTTAGGGCAGACTTACGATTCTTCTCAAGGCGCGATTCATGAGCAAGAAGACTCGACTCAAGCTCATCCAACGAACACATATCTTCTTTGCTGTTGATCGCCGCGACAATTGAATCGTATTCTTCAGGGAGTGCATCAAGCACTATTTCAATTAGGTTTCGAAAGGGAACAGGATCACCGATTGAAACCAGAGCTTCGCTGATTTCACGAACACGAACAAGAAACTCAGTGATGGTGCGAGAACCTTTGGTCAAGTAGCGTAGCTCAGATCGAAGTTGTCTCGCCTTCGTAGCAAGAAGAGTGGTGAAGTGACGATGAACCTCAGTCCATACTTGCCACGAATAGGTGCAATCCACCAGTTTAGGAAGTAGCGAATCGGAGATCGTGCTGAGGAGCCAGGTGCAGATTAGGGCGTCCTGCTGTTCCCAATCGAGAAACGCTGGATTGGCGCCGCCGGTAACAGGATCGGTGCCGGAGAGGAGGCGCGGAGGTACAAGCGGTGTCGTGACGAATTGCTGAAGCTTGTGTCCTCTGATAATGCCTTCAATTTGTTGTTTCCACTGTTTGAAGTTCTTCTCATCAAGCTTCACCGAGATGAGATGTGACAGTTTGACATGAGAGGAAGGAAAGCTTCCCTCAGAATTGAAAGGAGATGCCATGGAAGCCCTAGATCAAGAAAATAGCTCTAGATACCATGTTAAGAGAATAGAAAGCAGTTAAACTGTAACAGAATTGAATCACACTTCATTGCTCTTAGAATCGTTACAACAGACCCATATATAGGCCTAATAGAAATGCCAGCTCAGCAAAGCTGAACTAACTAAACAATCTATATATATAGGCCTAATAGAAGAGTAATCTATATTTATCTCTAATAAATATAGATTACTCTTCTATTAGAAATGATGAAGGGTTTCTTAAAACCAATATTGGGTGGAAATATCATCGATGCTAGTTGTGGAAGTGGATTGTTTTCAAGATTATTTGCAAAAAGTGGACTTTTTTCTTTGGTTGTGGCTCTGGACTACTCAGAGAACATGTTGAGGCAATGTTATGAGTTTGTTCAGCAGGAAGTTAACTTTCCAAAAGAGTACACAAATTTCTGAATCAATTTGAATTTTATCATACCAAACATTTGAACTCGATGTTTTAATAGAGCTGTTCAAAACAAATATTTTATTCATTTTAAATTTATATTTCATATACATTTCTGTTGCTAGGAACTTCATCTTGGTTAGAGCAGACATAGCTAGACTTCCTTTTGTTTCTAGTTCTATTGATGCTGTGCATGCAGGAGCAGCTCTCCATTGTTGGCCTTCACCATCAGCAGCTGTAAGCGAATAAGTGAATAATCATGAATTAATATTTGGAAATTAAAACTTTTATTTGTTTCAATATTTGAACATCTTTGGGAATGGTTTGTGACAAATAGTTTAACAATCCCAAAAGGTTTATACAGTTTTGTATCGGCAACTATGAAGAACATGTTTCATGCTTTTAAGGATGTTAAACAATTTTGATTATAAATTGCTTATGCAACGTTTACATAATATTTGGGATAATTTACTCCAGTTGATTTATCCGTGCTTTTGCATAGTTTTGTCATATGGTCTTGAGTATCGTCATTCCGTTTAACATGTTTCACTTCCTTTCCTCCATTCATGATCTGATTTTGCAGGTAGCTGAAATAAGCCGTGTTTTACGGCCTGGAGGTGTCTTTGTTGCAACCACCTACATACTGGACGGGCCTTTTAGTGCTGTCCCATTTCTAACTACATTTCGCCGGGTATAAAACTTTTGTCCATATTTGGCATGCTTGTTTGAATTAATACCCTGAGTGAGAGTAACTAAAGCTACCGTCTAGTTGATAAACTCAAAGTTGTTAGACAATTGAGCCAATTTACCAACCCATGAAAAAACTTGAGAATATTTTGACATCATTTTAGCCTCTGAAAAATGGCGAGTGACGTTAGTTTCAGTTCTTCAAAGAAGATTTTGATATTACTCACCATGATTGTGAGGCTAAAACAATATCACCTGTCTTTCAAGCACCAAAGTGACACCAACTCAGGTCCAAAGTTATATACCCTACATGTCAAACATGAAAACTGTTTAGTTTTTTACTTTTAAAAGTTTTGTTAGTTTTTTTTCCCAGCTCTATCAAGTTTTGAATAGTGGCCAATTTGTTTCCCATTTTAGAGTATAAAGCAAGTATCTGGGAGCTGCATCTTCCTCTCTGAACGTGAACTCGAAGCTCTCTGCAAGGCGTGCGGACTGGTTGGATTTAAATGCATTAGAAATGGGCCTTTTGTGATGATTTCTGCTGCAAAGCCTAAATAAGGTTTGAGTTTCCTGATGCTCTCTGTGCTGCCTTCAATACATATTTTTGCTTAAGTTTTTATTTCTTGACATGATCATTTTATTTAAATTGATAGCAGTTTAAAAAGCTGCATGCTGATCTGTTAAAATTGTGGTTTCACTAGTACAAAAAGATAGCTTCATTTAGAAAAATGATATTTAGACACATTTTTTCCTTAGATTATTCGCATATCATAAGTCGGGTAGATCAGCACTTCACACAGAAAAAGTGTCAGATTTCAACAGATGGTGAAAGGAGTGTCCATTCATCATGATGTGTCAGAAATGTGAAGTTAAATTTATTTGTAAATATTACAGCACCTCCATTTGACCCTTCTACTAAATTGTTTTTTTTATTGTTTGCATTTGATGTATCATTACCTCATTACCATTTTGTAACTAGTAATTGGAATAATAAGAATATTCTTCATCTTCTGGATAGTGAGAATGTGTTCCTCTCATCTCTGGATAGTGAGAATGTGTTCCTCTCAAAATTTTAGGTTCGAATCATATTAAATGCAAGCAATTATTTTGTTAGACAAACTTTATATAGAATTTTGTTCTGACGTTAAACAAAACCTTCACAAATAGACATTGAGATTAGTCTTTTTAAATTAGTCGATCGTAAGGTCAGATGGTAAAATTTCAAAAAAACAAATAAATGAGTATGCGATGGAAATTCTTCCATAAAAAAAGGTAAAGCCTTTTAATGTTTATTCTCATTCTGCTTGTGCAGATAATGCTAAATATTTGATCAAATTCTGAAAATTTCCAGCAACTTACATTTTTATTTAAATTCTCCAGTTTTTTTATTATAAATTGTTTTGGAAAAATTTGAAAGCCAAGTCATTTTATAATACAAATGAATCATTAGTATTATTTTACCTAATATATCCTTAAATAAGAAATAATTTTATAAAATTCTTTGTAATTTTTCTTTTCAAAGCATTAATATATTTTTTAATAAATGTGAAAAATGACAAAACGACTTATGATTAAAAAAATGGAGGTATTATACTTGTATGTCTTAGCCCTATTGATAAGGGGAATTTTCAAACTACCTCTCAAAAACCCCATTCTCAATCCGAAGGCCCTGTCTTCGTAAGTATTCACACTTTAGAAGTATATCTTCATCCGCCATTTCTATCTAAATATTAAAGAAAAATAAAATAAAAAACATTATTCATTATTGCCTTAGTCTAAAATGATTCATTAAGAGGGTAAAAACATGGCTCCTAAATGTGACAACAAACATTGGAGCTAACATATGATTTTCTATATCCTTAATTATAGAAATAATAGGAAACATTGTAAATTAAAATATATTGTTTGATGTTTTGAAGAAAGTTGTAGGTCTTAATTTTTGATGAAAAATGAGAGATGGTAATTTTGAAGTTTTTGAAATCTTTTTATATTGAAATCAATAGAATGAGAGAGGGGAAGAGTGTGTTTTAGTATATTCATACACTTCAGAAGATGCTTCTAGTTCAAATGCGTTCGGAACATTCTTCTAAACAAAATCAAAATGAACTATTCAAAAGATTCTTATTAAATAAATTCTAAACAAAATCAAAATCAACAATTTAAAAGATTCTTAAAAAATAAATGAGGTGGATTGAAGTTTTTTTAGTTAAGCATGTGATAGTGATATTCTTTACTTGAAATTTTTTGTTACTTGAGTTCCTATTATAAAAGGGCCATTTACTCTTTGTGAATAATAAATTCCAATTTCAAAAACTGTATAGTACAATCTATTATGCTTTATTTTGCTTTCGTTATCCTCAAACGATGAAACGAGCAGGAAATCCGTAAATTGCAAAATCAAGAAAACGAAAATAAAGTTTAAGTGCACAAATTAAGAAATACAATAATATTGTTATAAAACAGTAACTTTTATAAAATTAACTCTATAAATATATTAAAACTAGTATAGAAAGTAAAATATAAATGACACAATTAAAAAAATAGTAATCATTACTATATTGAAAAGTAAAAATAACAGTCATTTTAAAATAAAATTTATTTGTTGAAAGTACCATCATTTTAAAACGGATGAATAGTTTGTTTCATCTTTCTCTTTGATTTCTTTCATGTTTTAGTGTATGTATTTTAATATGTATTGAAATAAAAAACTTCTTTTAGTGTTATGATTAAAAAATATGTATCGAAATAAATTGTTGATATTTCTGAATGTATTGTGTGTATTATTGATGATCCTCAAGTGTAAATTTTGAGGACTATTTATAAGGGAAAAAATTAGGTTAAACCCCAAAAAAGAAAATTATCTAATATCCAAAGTCCAATTTCTTATATTGACTAACAAGATTAAGAATCTTGACATATTTGTGTCCAAATACAAAATTTAATATAGAAAAAATTGATTTGAAAAGATTTTATTTATTTATAAGGTATTTTGACTATTTTTTAAATAAAATAATAATTTTAATAAAAAAAGTATTTTTAAAATATAATAAATAAATAAAAACGAAAGTAGTAATTTAATAATAAAAAATATGATTTTTGTGGTTTGAAATAATTAAAAATGACAATAAAATTAGTAACAATACGTGACATTCTGCTTGCAAATCTTTCTCCCTTACCAACTGGACTATGTTACTTATTTGAAATAAAAAGCCAATTGAAAGTATATGAAGACGAACAATTATTTGCTATTTTAAAAATACAAATAATTATTATATTTTTAAATAGACTTGAAAGCGAATATTTATTAAAAACCCCAAAATGTTAATGTAATTAAACCAAAGGAATCTTTCACCATGTAAAACCCAAGTTCGAAAATAAATTTGACGATAACACTAAGGGCGGATAAATTTGAGGTATGACAGCTGCCCCTATTTAATTACCCTTCGATTGAATGGTGCGAGAACGCGCAAGTCTCACATATTCGAATCAGAGGGTTATTAAATAATGGAAGACCCCAAAATTTGACCAAAGTTTGCTAGATAAGGATACGCTGATATATCATACCCCTAAGAGTTTTGATAAAAATAGGCAAAGATGATGATGTATCATCTTACCAGGGTTTGAACCAAAGTTTTGTTAGATACGAAGACACAGATAACTCGTCAGTATCTAAGAGAGATTGCAGATTTTTGCATATTTACCATGACCTAGGAGGTAAATGATACAAGTTTTAAAAAACATGACTTACTAATGCTTGGAGACTAATATAGTAAGTTTTGATTTGATTTGATTTTATCTATTCATCGTAACCTAGGGGATGAATAAAACAAAGTCTAATAACACATTGCTGTTTGGAGACTGATGCAATGAATTACGCATATTTATTTTGCATATCTATTGCAACATGGGGGATAGATAATTGAAAAAGCTCGACAACTACATCGTTGCATGGAGACTAAGGCGGTGAGTTATATTACAGATTTAACATATTGTTGCATGGAGCCTGACGCAATGAGCTACATCACAGAGGGGGAAACACATCGCTGCCTAAAGCCTGACGCAATGAGTTAAATTGTAGATTTCCGCACATTGCTGCATGTAGCCTTAGGCAATGAACTATATTATAAAGAAGTAAACACATTGCTGCATGAAGCCTTAGGAAATGAGTTAAATTATGGATTTAACACATTGCTGCATGGAGCCTTAGGCAATAAACTATATCGCAAAGAAGGAAACACATTGCTGCATGGAGCCTTAGGCAATGAGTTAAATTATGGATTTCGCACATTGCTGCATGGAGCCTTAGGCAATGGACTATATCGCAAAAGAAGGAAACACATTGCTGCATGGAGCCTTACGCAATGAGTTAAATTGCTGATTTCGCACATTGCTGCATAGAGCCTTAGAAAATGAACTATATCGCAAAAGAAGGAAACACATTGCTGCATGGAGCCTTAGGCAATGAGTTAAACTGCAAATTTCGCACATTGCTGCATGGAGCCTTAGGCAATGAACTATATCGCAAAAGAAGGAAACACATTGCTGCATGGAGCCTTAGGCAATGAGTTAAATTGCGGATTTCGCACATTGCTGCATGAAGCCTTAGGCAATGAACTATATCACAAAAGAAGGAAACACATTGCTGCATGGAGCCTTAGGCAATGAGTTAAATTGTAGATTTCGCACATTGCTGCATAGAGCCTTAGGCAATGAACTATATCACAAAAGAAGGAAACACATTGCTGCATGGAGCCTTAGGCAATGAGTTAAATTACAGATTTCTCACATTGTTGAATGGAGCCTTAGGCAATGAACTATATCGAAAAAGAAGGAAACAAATTACTGCATAGAGCCTTAGGCAATGAGTTAAACTGCAGATTTCGCACATTGCTGCATGGAGCCTTAGGCAATGAACTATATCGCAAAAGAAGGAAACGCGTTGCTACATGGAGCCTTAGGCAATGAGTTAAATTTTGGATTTCGCACATTGCTGCATGGAGTCTTAGGCAATGAGCTATATCGCAAAGAAGGAAAACACATTGCTGCATGAAGCCTGGCGTAATGAGTTAAATTATAGATTTCTCACATTGCTGCATGAAGCCTTAGACAATGAGCTATATCGCAAATGAGGAAACACATTGCTGCACGAAGCCTGATACAATGATTTAAATTTGTAGAGGAAGTTATTTTGATGATCAAATCTTAGATAACTAGATCAGAGATGGGATTGGATATCTACCAGTTGTTTGTTTTCAACCCAGGTAATAATCTGACGGAGGGCCAAGAGATATTGGTTTCGCCCAAAGTATGATTTGAGAAATGCCATGTGTGATGTATTTGCATGATGTCTTAGATTAGTATGGAACCCATAGTGTATATGCACTGAGTGTGCGTGTATGCCCCAAATGTTTGCATATGCATAAAATGTGTGCATATGCCTCGAAATATTATGAAAAATGTTTTTGGTATTCTCTCCTTTGTTAAACCAACTGGTGCTTGTAGTCACCAACTTCTCAACATTGTTTGTTGCCAATTGTTGTATCTCCAAGTTGATTTGA